TCTGGTGTGACGACCAAATTTCCCAGCGTGTCTTGCAGGGGCCCCATGTTTCCTGGTACCTTCTTTTTGCCCCCTATGTATTTAAAAAAGGACTTCTTGTTGTCCTTAATTTGGGAAGCTAGTCCCAGTCCCATCTCCGCCTTGGCCTTCCTGACCACCCCCCTGCAGTCTCCCCACTATACCCAGTCTTCCATCAATAACATACTTAAGGGACAGCCTTCTTCTCTTGCCCTCCACCCTGCAGTTGAAGGATTGTATCTCATTACTGGTTTAGTTAGGTATGTTGATGGCTTCCCTTACATGGTTGACTAAGCTAGCTGTCACATCTGCAAAGGTTTAGTTTACAGTCACTCAGACACAGCTTGGGTACCTTCTGCTTCACCACACTTCTGCTGCTTGGCCTAGGCCCCTTGAAAATGGCCAAGACTGGCTATAAATGTGCCAACTCTGCTTGGTATAAAACTTGTGGGAAGTTGTTCCCAGCAGTCACCCCTCGAGCCTGGAATTCCCTCTCTCCTGAGACCAACCACAGCCCAAGCCTGGACATCTTTTGGAAGTGACCTTCCTATTTGGGCAGGTGTTCAGCAAGCAAAGCTAGGCTACGGTATTGTTTAGACCCATTTTATAAGTTATTCTGTTCTCCTGTTGTAAGCTTTCCTGAGCCTCTGTTGGGAATGGTAGCATATAAATCAAATAAATAAACCTGTCCAGCACTGCAAGGTTACTAATTCACAGCACTATATTCGGAGTCAGGGTTACATTTCCTTTATAATCCCCTATTTTACAAAATGCTGAATATTGAAATAGTAGAGTTTTTAGGAAAATCCTGGTCTGGAACCAAACTCCTTCTAAAAAGCAGCTCTGGGGGTAGGGGAATTCCTTCCTTGCAAAATATTCAGGGTGATGGCAAGAGATTGGTTTCTGTAAATTAACAAAAGCAGCAGTTAGCAACTTTTTCGGGCTGCAGGCTGAATTAACCCAGCTGAGATCAGAGGTAGGAGGGTGACAAGAACAGGACACTGCCACCTCCACTGCCACTTTTTCCCCACCACAACACAGGAGAAGCCCCTGCCACCAAAGCTCTGTGTCTGTGGGCTGGGTCCGATCTGTCTCACAGACCATAGAGACTGCCAAGCCCTGAACTAAGGAATCATCTAAAACTGTGAAGCTCAGAAGTTTGGTATTCACATGCCTATAAGGCTCTCTGCCTGTGTTTTCTCTTTTGCCAGCTATGTAGAATGGGGTCTCTTCCACCTGGCAAAGCAACAGAAGGCAAAACCACGTCATCATTTCCTTTTCATAAAGTGCTGAGTTAGAAGGTTTGGTCAGCACTGCTGTAGAGATTGAACCTAGACCTGGCTGGACACTGTGCTCTGGTATTGTCTGGTCATTCCCTGGTACTGAGGGCTCATGCCTTGATTTATTGTGAGAACCTTATGCCTTTGCCAGGCCATTTGTGACTGCAAGGCTGTGCACCATAATGTGAGGGCATGGAAGAAGCCAGTTCTTGGGTATGATGAGAGACTGGGTGCACCTAGCACCAAGGCCAGCCTGCTCCTAATCCCATCAGTCCTGGGGGCTGTGTACATCAGCTTCTTATTATAAGCTTAGCTCTGTGAGCATCTGTCCAACCCCTTGCTCAGCCCTAGGACACTGGACTGACTGGCCTCTCTGCAAACACTCCCCTGTCTCAAAGGGGAACTGTGGGTCTAACATCCAGTCATGATTGTGGGAGCTTAGGGATGAGGTAGATAAATCCTTAGATAGCTCATTCATCAAAAAAGCCCCACACCTCTAGCACCTGGGTTAAGTTCCTGCTGGACTTGGACAGAAGGCTGAGTGAGAACCTCAATTCACTCTCTGCTCTTGGACCTTGGCTGCCAGTGTACTGGGGAGGTTCCTGCTCAGGAATGGGGGTGATGTTTCCTGCCAGAATGGTCAGGCCCCCTGGTGCCAACCTACGCTTGTGCTCCTCACACATGTGCCCTGGGTTGAGCCATGAAGGTCAGCATTAAGCTCTTGGCCAGCTCCTGTTATGTAAATCCAATGCAATCAAGGCTTAGTTCCAGAAAGGGATGAAGGATGGAATAATAACTGTTGTCTCCTGACCATACTGGTGTTCAGATCTTGCAGCTGACACTAGTAACGCCAGATCCCTGGTAGCTTATTCAGATGCTTCCATGGAGTGGGCCCTGGAGCCCTTTCTGCCATTGTTATGGCTGACAGTGAGTGGCTTGGCCTCAGGCTTCTCTCACTTTACAGGCACTAACTCCAATGCTGGGAGCGTCCTCAAAGAAACAGAGCAGGTGAGAGAGGATAGTGATAGGGGGGGCTTTGCTCTGGACCAGCGGTGTCCTGCTGGCCTGCGCTTAGGTTCTGCTGCTCCTCCTCTGTGGATGATTTCAAACAGAGCTTGTAGCATGACCAGGTGCTTACACCTTGGCACCAATCATGTTAGTGCTACACCTGATGGCAATGGTGTAGCTCTCACATATTGATACAGGTGGTGTAGTACTACCCCTCAATGCAGATGGTGTAGCTATATTACATATTGGTTCGGGTGGCCTTAGTACCACATCTCAGTGTGGATGGCATAGCTGTTATGCCCTGGTGTAGATGGAAGTAGTTCCACACCTCAATGAAAATGGTGTCTTTTTTCCCTTTGTGTGGTTTGTATAGTTGTTAAACCTGGCAGGGGCTGCTAAAGCTCTCATACCTGGGTATGGCCAGTGTCACTGTGGTTAGCATTTGTTCTGGAGAGCCTTGCTGGTTTAGTTTGTTGCATATGATGTTCTGTTGGGCATCTGATCATTAAGTTTACTTGCAGAACTTTCATTTTGACAGGGTAGGATCTTAAACATACCACGGTTATGAGTGAGCTTTAGTTCTAAAGCTAAAATATAAGCTGAAGACAGACTGGTTGATCTATTGATGGCTGAATTGCATATCTGGATAATTTATAATAAAATGTTTTGGTAGTATAAAAATGACGTTGTAGCCATGACGGTCCAGAAGTTATACAAGGGGCAATGAAGAAAAGCATTTGCAATCTTGCTTAACTTTATCACAACTACATAATAGGTCCAATAAAAGAGATCACCCTAAGAAATCCATACCTCTGGCATAATACAATGTTTATGTAATACAGTCTTGACACTGTTTGTGGGTGCTGCCCTCCTGGGGTTAGGTGATATAGCTGTTTAACCTACAGACTGACTGGTAGGTTGTCAGTCCATGGGGTGGGCCCTGCGTCTTTAGGTCTAATAATTATTTCCATTCATACCTGGGAAATATGACTTTCTTAAGCATATCTTCTACTCTGCTCTCCTGACATACATCTCCTTTTGTATGGAGATCCTTCTGGTCTCCCATGAATCATTTCTGGTTCTAGAAGCTTGCTGGATGCTAATGAAATCCAGCAGAGGCCAAAGTAGAACAAAGTAGAAGCCAGCCGTTGGAGAGGAGAATCCCTGAGAAATGATGAAAGTTTTACACTTCCTTATTGAGCATGGCAGGTTGGGCTTCTCTTCCTCCTTGGACGTGGCCTCAAGAAGGAACGTATGCATCACATAGCTGCCCTCACAAGGGTCCTCTTCCCTTGCTGCTGCTGGACATGGCTGCTGCAATCAAGAGCTGATTTCTTCAGCTCTTGGTGCTGGGAGAAGGACTAGGTGGAGCAGATACCCTCCTAGCTGTAAATACAAATTACTGGTAGTCTCAGTACAGCACCGTGGATGTCTTCCAGGTCTGGGTCTCAGCCTGCTCTGGAGGTCACCATTCTTGGATCCATTTGTAATTTCTTATTTCATTATTAATCTTGGCTGGGATTTTTTTCAGGGACTAAATGTCTCATAAAATGAATCCAGGTTTCCTAAAGCAGGGGTGGCCAACTTGAGGCCTGGGTGCTACAAGTGGCACAAGCAGCCTTCGTGGGAGGTACGTGGCAGATCAAGGAGGGAGCAGGAAACAGAAAGCAGAACAACAGATCAGGGAGCAAACACAGTGCAGAAAACAAAAAGCAGAGCTACAGATCATGCCGGGAAAGAGGATCACTGACATTGGGGGAGGATGTTGGGAGGTTGCCAAAAAGGTTGGCCTCCACTGTTCTAGGAATAAATATATCCATGGCAGGATTCATTGTCTGCTGCAAAGGGCTATTCTGCCAGATAGGAAGGTGGTTTGTGACTTACAGAGGAAGAGAGACTGATCAGATGAATGATGGATGCCCATGGAGCCAGACTGGCAGCAAAGCTGGGAGCAGGTCCTGGAAAGTCAGTAGATGGATAGGAAAATATCCATGTCCTTGCAGCAAGTTCCTCTTCCTTCTGCTGTTTATGAGTAATCATAGCCAGGGCTCCATGGAAGACTGAAGAAAGAGTGGAGAACAGCCCCGGTGCAGGGTATATGAGCAAGAAGCCAGGCTGGCAGCTGGCTTGGCTGGGGTCTCTCATCAGTAGTCTCTAGCTAGACTCTCTTAGCATGTTCTCTCATCAGACAGGGCAGTGGAAAGGGCAGGCCCTTAGGCTCAGAGCTTCCAGGTATGATCTGTGCTTTGGGTCAGAACATCACTGAGCTGTGGGGGAAATCTGGACTGTCTGAGCTTTGCCTCTTGCATTTATACCTGCTGATGGGGAGGACTTTGATCTGTGGCCACATAGGTCAGCAATGATGCGAGCACACTGCTGCTGCCCCATTCATTTATTGTCTCTCTCTTTGTTATCTCCCCGTTTAGCTGCTGTAGACTTTTTTGGTGCCAGAATAACCTGCAGAGATGATCGCTCTCCCCAGACCACCCCTGCTGCTGCTTCTCCTGCTGATCCATATCCCAAGTGCTGCAAAAGCTCAGGTCAACCCAGGTAACTGTGAGGGAAGTCAGGCATTTGCAATAACAGCAAAGCAGCTGCTCCTGAGGTTATTTTAATTGACTGTGGTCCTGCCAAGGCTCATTCATTTTCTTTCTCCATGGGTCACCCTGTTTCCAGAAACTCAAAGACTTTCCGAACACAGGGAAGATGAAAGTATCTGTAGGAAATGTGGTGCCTGCACCTGTCTAGGAGGGGGAGCTGGGTTTGGACAGGTTACTAGTGGCTGCTTTCCAGTGTCCTTTATTTTCCCTGAGTAATGATGCTTTCCCCCATTTCCCCACAGCACTGTGTCCCTGGCCCTCTAGGACTGGATTATTTTCCCTGTAAATATTATAACTGTGCCAACCCTCCCCACCCTGAAACATCCACTTGGTAGAATCCAGCTGCATATTGAAGGTAATGACAAAGCTTTCGTTCACTTCAGTGGAACAAACATTTCTACCCATCTTCAAAGGGGGAGCATAGCCAAAAGCTCTTTGCTATCTAGGTTCAGAACGTGCATCTGAAAGGGAGGGGCTGAAAGCAATGGCCAACGAGACATCATCTGGATGCACCTCAGTCCTAATCTCTAGCTCCACTGTGATGATTCTCTTGCTTTTTCCATCAATGGATCTTAAAGAGCTGTACAGTGGAAGTTATTATTATTATTAACTCCTTTTACAGATGGAGGTGAAGGGACTTGCCAAAGGTCACCCAACCAAGCCAGTGGCAGAGCCAGGAATAGAAACCAGGTCTCCTGACGCCCAGTCCAGTGCTGTAAGAACATAAGAAGTGCCATAGTGGATCAGTCTAATGGTCCTTTTAGTCCATCATCCTGTCTCTAACAGTGGCAGGAATAGATGTTTTAGAGGAAGCGGATATGAATGGGACATATCTTGAGTGATCCACCATCATCATCCACCCACACAGTCAATTGGGTTGCCAACTGGCTGGAGGGCCTCACCCAGAGAGTGGTGG